CCTTTACGCCCCCTCTCCCTTCCTGGTCGATCTTCCTCTTTTGTCTTGCAGCGTAGAGAATGCCCAGTCCCCTCAGTCCCCGCTCTTCCTGTCCGTCCCTCCGGCCGACGCACAACATGCTAATGCTTCTCCACCATGTTTTTTCTCATTTATTTATTTTTATTTAACCTTCATTTAACCAGGGAGTCCCGTTGAGATTCAGAATCTCTTTTTTCAAGAGAGACCTGGCCAAAGTAGCAGCCAAACCACAGGAACAAAATACATATTTACAACATATTACATTTTTCATAATAGAATCAAAGCAATATGTTAAAACACATTGAGCATCTCAAGAAAAACAAGCACATATCTCCATCACTACACTCTTCATGGTTGCTTTAAATTCATTAATGGACACGAGTGGTTTCTAATTTGAGCTCTTTCTGGAGGTTATTCCAACCCCAAGGTGCAGAATAGGAGAAAAAGCAGTTTTTCCCAACTCATGTGTAACATCATGGCTGCTTTCTCCATTTGAGTTCGTGCCTCTGCTGACTTTTGTGTGGTTTAGATGTGGATGGTTGTTTACGCTCTCAGGCTAAGGCTCGGTGATCATGGGCAGATGTGTCCTGATGCTGATTGGACCTCAGAGGCGTCATTTACCCAGACGGGAGGAGCCTTTTTAGTAGAAGAGCTCTGCTTCTCTTCTCTCGTGGAGGTTTATCTACACAGGAAATACGTTGGGAGGGAATAAACACCTGGTGCCCCCCCCCCCCCCCCCCCCCCCCCTTCCCCCCACAACTGCTAACACAGAGACAAACCACACACAACCACACGCCTGCTAAAATAAGCCCACTTTTTCTCTTTGTTTACTTGATCAACAGTTTATAACTGCAGTCCAGCTGTTCGGTGCGTTACCATAGCAACGTGTCACACCAATAGAAGTATGAATTCAGCGTGAAGCATCATTTATTACTGGTTTAAAATGCAAATAGGTTTGGAGTTACTGACATCCCAGCTAAGGGGTCTACAACACCATGAAATGGACCTCCAGAGGGGGCTTTCTTTTTTTTCTGTATATATCTAGATCTTAGATATAGAAAACATATTTATTAAGTAAGAATAAGGTCTTAGCTCTGTCACACTGGTAGCCAATTTATCAACATTTTGTTGTCAAGATTCACCTTGTGTTTCTTGTACAATAACAGTAAAGGAAGTCTAAGTCTAAATCTTCTTTTCTTTTCTGGCAGTCTGGCCGTTTTCTCACGTTTTTTTTTTTTTTACATTTCTCCTCCAGGCGTGGAAAAAGCGCTGGTTCATACTCCGCAGCGGCCGCATGAGTGGTGACCCCGATGTTTTGGAGTATTACAAGAATGACCACTCCAAGAAGCCGATCCGGGTCATCGACCTGCACTGCTGTGAGCAGGTGGACTCGGGCCTGACCTTCAAGAGGAAGGAGTTCCAGGCCAGCTTCGTGTTCGACATCAAGACCTCGGACCGCACTTTTTATCTGGTGGCTGAGACCGAGGAGGAGATGAACAAGTGGGTGCGCTCCATCTGCCAGCTGTGTGGCTTCAACCAGTCGGAGGACAGTCACGGTAAGAGCTCTATGAGCTGCCCTCTGCTTGTGTGTGTCTTTTTCCACTTTATTTTTGATCTTTGAGCCATTGGAAGTGGAGTCAAAATGTCAGTGATACTAAAGAATGACATTTCTAATAATATTATTGCACATACATATTTGTTAATATGTAATATTTCAAGGAAATTCACACTTTAGTAAATGGTTGTTTGTATACTATACTATATTATACTATACTATACTATTCTGTAATATACTATACTATACTATACTATACTATACTATTCTGTAATATACCATACCATACTATACTATACTATACTATACTATACTATACTTTACTATACTGTAGTATTCTGTAATATACTATACTATACTATACTATTCTGTAATATACTATACTATACTATACTATACTATACTATACTATACTATACTATACTATACCATACTATACTATACTATACTATATTATACTATACTATACTATACTATACTATACTATACTATACTATACTATACTATTCTGTAATATACTATACTATACTATACTATACTATACTATACTATACTATACTATACTATACTATACTATACTATACTAAATAGATAGATAGTATGTATCCTGTACAGAGAGTCTTTACTGTTTTACATAGCAAAGTCCATTAATATTTACCTATTATTAATCTCCCACTGTGCTTTCTCATGTAATCTGAAACAGCGAGCATCTTATTTTTCACAAAGATGTCGGCAGGGAAAGTAAACAGAGGCTGGGCCACATGATATCATCTGCAACTGGGTTTTTTCCATCGTCATTTGAGAGAATGGAATAAGAACATCCCTCTGCCAGATAAATGGTCCGTGTCTGGGACTACTATTGATTATTCTCTTCATTTGTATCATGAGAGAAAGCTGCTGATTTCTGCTGTGTATATATAGATATATGGTTGGAAATTGTTAACATTAGTCATGTGACACATGTTCAGGTTTCTGTTTTTGACACATTTGCTCGAGAGCTGTTGAGCAGTATATATATTTTGCTTCCTAAAGTCTGAGTTTGAGTCCTCTCAGACTGAGGAGTCAGACAGGAAGTGTGACAGGGAAGTTCAACCAACTGCTTCTAAGAAAGGCCGCAGAGCCTTCACGTCTCCATGAAATAAAACCTTCTACATTTTCAGAAAGGCAGCAGTGACATGCAGGCATCTTCACAGCTGTTTTATTTCGCAGCATTTCTCAGCCGCAGTAGCTTTTTGTGTTGCACAAATCCTGCTGCTGATTAGCTGTCAGTGCTTAACCCTTTAAAGCCTGATCCGAGAAAAAAAGGAAGAATATTGGATTTTTTTTAGTCTGAAGTCTTTCTTTGGCCCCTCAGCAACATATGAAGAAAAAAAAACAGAAATTATTTTGTTCAAATTAGCGTGCAATAAGTCAAAAATATATTTTGGTGTAGTCTTCTACTGGCTGTTATCAGGTATATCTGAAAATATAGTAATATAGTAATATCTGAAAAATAGGAAAAATATTGGATTTTTTTAGTCTGGAGTCTTTCTTTGGCCCCTCAACCACATATAAAGAAAAAAAAACAGAAATTATTTTGATCAAATTAGCGTGCAATAAGTCAAAAATATATGTTGGTGTAGTCTTCTACTGGCTGTTATCAGGTATATCTGAATGTGTACAACAGGGGTTTGAGCAAAGCTTTTACTACTGAATGATGCAGAAAGTCTCAGATCCAAAAGACTTCAGAAACCATATGAATCAAATATGATACATTTGGCATTATAGGGTTAAACCTGCCATTCCTATCCCAAAATACCAATGCCAAAACACAAATGACAAGCAAAAAGCCTGCAAAAGTCCAAAACTAAGCGTCTTTTAAACTTTTAAACTAAGACTAATAGCTGCCCGGCCGTAAATGATCCAACATGTCTGACAGCTCCTGATGGATTCTGCTGATTAGCTGCAGACTGCCAGCATGCAATAACACGCACAACACCAACGGTATCAGCACGTTACCAGCTCTCCCATGCGGAACTGACACAGAGTTACATTCATTTTACACACCGGTTGCTCAGAGCGCGATGCCGTTTTCTTGATTTGACTTGTTTCGGATTAAACAAGTCTGTTTCGTTTAGCCCAGAGCCTTCCTTTGAAATCCACCTAGCTTAAAACCAAGAGCCGATGTCTGCTACAGATAAAACAAACATAAGCAACACAGTCCAGGTTAAGCAACACACAGTGCCCGGCTCATCCCTGGTAGTAGCATTACTCTCATATCCTCCTGAGACCCGGCCCATTCATTTATGTCCATTATAGTGGACATTTTGTCCACCTGTACCCCCCCTAAGTATCTGGAGTTACCCTATCAAGCCCTATAGTGTTCTGTAGAGCACATCCTGGGCTTTCCAGTGATGTGCCATGTGATAGGTTTGCATGCTGGGAACTTTACTTTTTTCCTAAGAGTTCTTAGGTAAATATCCCTTTCAAGACATCTTCTTTTTTATTATTTAATTATCTAAAGCCTGTTCTATTTTCCCATGCAAATCGTCCTGTTGTCCTACACAGTGGACATGCTATGAAATTAAAATTAAAAATATTTTTCTTTTTAAATCGTCCTGTTGTCGTCCACAGTGGACACGCTATGAAATTAAAATTAAAAATATATATATTTTAATTTAAATTGTTATGTTCTTTTTTAGGTCCAAATACATGGAAAATCACAACAAAAAAGAAATTTGAAGACACTTTTTTTCTTTGGGTCTCAGGAGGATATGATTGATTTGTGATTACAGATCCACAGTGATGGTCGGCATCATTGTACTAATTTGCAGTTGTGGTTTTGTCTTGCAAAAAAAAAGAGAAAAAAATGGCATCCAGCTTTCAGCTACTTGGTTTGTAATCAGTGGGATGTGTTTCACTATGGTTTAAATCCACCCATCCGGACTGTTTTGGTGTTGTTGTTTTCCCTCCATCTGGCAGCTGGTGGACGTTAGTCTTTGTGCACATGGCTGATCATCTGTAACGTGCACTATGTCCAGGTGAGGACCGGCGTTTAGCAGCTGTTTACGGCCCTAAAAAGCCTCACATCGTGAGAAAAAGTGCCCCGCTCCATAATCTGTAATTAGCCGGGTCCTGTTGGAGATCTCAAAGTGTTGCAGGGTGTGTCTGGGAGATGGATGGGGGGCAGAAAAAAAGCTTTAGTCGTTTCCTCTGTCTGTCTAGTCTAAACGTCAGGCTCGTCTGATGATAAAATAAGACATTAGTTCCCTTTTCTGATACATTTTTTTACTGAAATTGTCTGTCAATTAAAATGCATTTTCACACCTTGGTTTAGCAGATCTCAGTAAGAGGAAGCTTGAAATCAGATATAGAAAGCACATCGTTTTCTGAAAAACCACAAGCAAAACCATGATTCTCCTCAATATTAGCACTCTTCAGAAGACTTATTTCTATTTGTGTTACACAAGAATGCACATGTAGACAGGCTGATATCTTCTTGAAAAACATCTTCTCATTTATCATTTTTATGTCTCCCAATTATGTAATTTCTGCTCATAAAAAAACATGATTCTTCTGCCTCCCTTAAATAACCGTGCCACCCGTCTGTTTGCCCTATGTTCAGAAAACCGTGGGTCTTCTTCCTGGTTTCTGTTCCATTTTCTGCCGCTGGTAGTTAAACAAACAGGACACACGTCCGAAGAACAGTCCAAATAACAAGTGTCTTCCTTCTGAAAGCTGTTTGCACGAGATGGTTTTCATGTTTCTAGAGAATTGTTTGCTCATTTTTTCGTGCAGATTCGATCTACTTCTCATTTTAAAAACATTCTGCCGTGGCATAATGTGCATCCTGCTGTTGTCAAAAAGAGCTGAAACTACTATAAATGCAACACTTTTATGTGTGAAAATGTTTTAACACAGCAAAATCCAAACATAAAAGGTTTACAATCCATGCACGCCCCTTGTTTCATTTAATTTAGGCGATATTATGAAGATTAGAGGAGAATTAAATAATTTTAAAGATGTGAGAGGTCTACACTTTGAGGAAATAGTCTGTTCCTGATGATATGCCAAAGTCAACTAAACAGAAGATCTCCCAATCTTTCTGTTTGGCAGCACACTGACACATGAACCTCCATCATATCTTGGTTTATCTCTAATTTATGCCTCGGATATGTGAATACTAATCAAACAAAGCCTGAAACGTGACGCAAGTCTTTGGCCAACAAATGTGTTTTGTAGGTTTTCCTCCTAACGAATCATTGTGTCATCTAACAGTCTGGGAATTCCCTCTCTGGGAAAAAAAAAAGAAAGAAAGAAGGAAGGAGGGGCAGTGGGGAAAGAGCT